GATGTCCCGAGTTCATTAAAACAGCCTATGCCTCGAAACAGTGTATGCTTTGATTCTAGGATACAATTAAACCGTTTAAAAGCCATAAAACCTGATGAATAAGAAGTAACGTACTCGCGTTTTCTGGAAACGCCAACTCAAGCTTTCTCACGTCGGGCCCCGATGCAGAACGTCAAGATGTTTCCCGCCTTACATACGCAGTAGATCATTTGGGTTTTCCCTGACATTCTCCCGTCGTCGTTGCCGTCCCCGTTGTCGGTGCTTAAAGTCCCTATTTTATTGTAATTCTGGCCGGGCTGAATAAATTTGTCTCATACAGCCACTGAGCGTTAACACAGCCAGATTTGGGTGGCCCAATAGCTATAGCCAGATTGTACTGTTAGTAGTAATGTTTTGGCATTCTGTTTCATTAGCTTGTTGCAGGTAGTGCTGTAATGGCCTTTGAGGATGTTTGCCCAGATAGAATTGATTTGATTCACAAAAACTACCGCAAACTATGTAACCTGTTGATAGACATAGATGAGTGGGGTCAAGTAGCAGTAATTCATATGCTGACAAGATATGCACGGACACAGTTTATTGACCCAAACAGAGAGGTGAGGAGTTGTAAGAACTTTCAAAATGCTGTACAGATGTCTGTTGATGTAAAGTACTTGCGAATTTAATTTAATTACAAACTTTGTTTTAGCCTTTATCAGAGGGAGACTTTTATCCCAAATCTGACAACTCTGATGATGATGATGATGATGATGATGATGATGATGACGATGATGAAAAGGTACCAAAGAAGCAGTCGTATATTATGGATCCTGATCATCGCCTACTCTTGCGAACATGCAAACCACTTCTTCAAAGCAGGAATGCTGCAGTGAGTTTTGATTTGACTTTGTTTTCAAATTTTGCAACTGTACATGACAGCCATGGGGCAGATTGGCCTCCCTAAGGGATCCCAACACCTTTTGGCATGAATGGGAAAAACTATTTACGAGAGTTTTGAACAAGTATGCACCACTGCGTAAAAAGAATGTTAGAAGAAAACCCGCCCCTTGGTTAAAAGCCATGTTTCATCGTGATTACCTGAAAAGACTAGTGAACAGATCTGGCGATCCGTCAGACTGGGCTACAATGCTATGCAAAATGGTTGAGACACTCCTCGTAAAAAAACGATCTTGAGATGTTAAGTTATTTCTTTTGACCCCCCCCCCCCCCCCCCCCCCCCATTACAATGTTGTAACCGAAAAATTGGAGCGTAAATTTGACGTGAAAACAACATTGATAGGGGGAAGGGGATGTCAAACATAGAAAATTAATAATGTTTTAAAAGGCACTAAATCATGAGAGTGTCTCAAGTATTTCTGCATAGCATTGTAGATACAGGGCTGCTCGCAATCAATTGAAGGGTGTGCTGGAATAAGGGCATTATTAACAATAGATTCTATTGTTAATAATGCCCTTATTCCAGCATGCCCTTCAATTGCAACTTGTTATTAAAAGTGATAAGTCACAATATTATGGCGAGAAAATTGACTCCAATGTTGACAATCCCAAGAAAATGTGGAAGGTATTAAATGACCTTACTTCTAAGAAATCTAAGCAAACACTAATTAACCATATTAATCTTGATGGCACATCATATACTAAATCAGCGGACATAGCAGATGCCTTTAATACACATCTTACTCAAATAAGTGACACGCTGTCAAGTGAGTATGCTACTGGTGCTGCAAACCCTACCTTTGAAGACTTTATTACTCCTGCTACTAGCATCTTTAGATTTACTCCTGTGTCTATTCTTGCTGTAACAAATCTCATGAAAAACCTCTGTCAGTAGCTCAAAGTATTTAAAGTATTTAAATCTGGGAGCAAATCGGACTGTAACAACTACAGACCGATATCGGTTTTATCAGTCGTATCCAAAGTCCTGGAAAGACTTGTCTATGACCAAGTTTATCTAAATACCAATCTGGCTTTCGCTCGCTGCACTCGACTGTCAAAGCCCTACTTGATGCCACAAATGACTGGTTCATTAATATGGACAAAGGCCTAGCGAACTGTGTCATCTTTCTTGACATTAAAAAAGCGTTTGACACAGTTAACCACAAAATTATTTTACGAAAGCTTGAAATCTATGACTTAAATAGCGAGACTGTAAACTAGTTTAGATCGTATCTTTACAATAGACGCCAAGTATGCGTGATAGGCGATGCATCATCCAATGAAGGGCTATTGACTAGTGGAGTCCCTCGAGCAGGGATCCATTGTTGGACCCTTATTGTTTCTAATTTATATAAATGACTTAAACGACACAGTCTACACATTACTCTAAGTGTAAAATGTACGCAATGATACTAGTTTATGTGTGCCCGGGAGAGATGCTACCGAGATTGAACACAATATCTTATTCTATTCTTGGAGTTGAACTCAGATCTTTTATTCAAACCGTAAGGTTGAAGGGTGCAAAGTTGTGCACTCCAATAAGCTTCTCTTGTTAACAAGCGATGATCGAGGCTATTATTGTCACTGAAATTGAAAACTTGTTCAATGATAGCGAAATCAAAATCAGACAAAACATGAG